TTGCCAAGCTACATCCCTGGATCCACTGAGTGACCACTGCCCTCAAGGTTGCCAAGCTGCATTGCTGACTCCAGTGAGTGACCATCGCTCTCAAGGTTGCCAAGCTGCATCGCAGGATCCAGTGGGCGGTGACTATATACATTTCTTTTTCACTCTCATCTTTTCTTTACTCTTATCCTGTTTTCTCTCCCCTGTGCATTTCCCCCCCCCCCCAAAGGTTATCTTTGTGTTGCATCGTTATGTGACAACACCCAAAACGCTGGCTTACCTGATGATGCAAAATTGTTAAAATAAATTTTGGCAATGTGTGTTTTCAGACACCGATTATTTAGTGTCGTTTCGCTTTAATCCACCCCAAGGGAAGTATTGATAAAAACCTGAGTTACCCCCCCTCCCCTTTTCCTGGGGCGGGTCGTAACAGACGTTACATTTTATAATAACATCTGTCCAATCCCAAGTGTTTCCACCCCGTAGCCTGATCCACCCCCGGCCCATCCCCTTAGAATTGAGTCTGGGGTGTGTTTTGGGACCCTCTCTTCATCACCATCTTCAGGGCACAGAGGGTACACAGTCGCCTAATTCTTGACTCTGTTCTGTTGTTCAGGCCTGGATATGAGTGTTCTTTAAACAGCACAGAGACTAAACATTCCTACTGGATTCGGGGGTAGGATTGATATGGGGAGCATGGAATGGGGTAAGAGGGTTGGGGAATGTGTAAACTAAAGGGTGCTAAAGGGTGAGGAATATAACACAGCTGCTTCTACTATAATTACATACAAAGCTTATAACAATTAGCCAAATCAAAAAACTAAAAGGGTCTTAAGGCATCACCACAAATGGTGAGGAAAAGATGCAGTGAGCGCGAACAGGGACAGGAGGAGAGGGAACGGCCTCCAGCTGGGCCAGGGGAGGCTCAGCTGGGATACTGGGAACAATTCCCACATGGAAAGGGCTGTCAGGCCCTGGAATGAACTTCCCAGGGCAGGGCTGGAGTCGCCATTCCCAGAGGGATTTCAGATCCCTGTGGATGTGGCCCTTGGGGACACAGATCCAGCGTGGCCTTGGAAGCACTGGGGATGCTTGGATTCCATGATCTCCAAGGGTTTTTCCAACCTGAACCATCTCTAAGGATTCTGTGCCATCCCGGCACTGTCCCAGCTCTCCACAATTC